TCTGCACTGGTTTGTACACGAATGCGTGAGTTATACCGAGTACTCAGTAAATTATAGACCACTTCAAATCTTCGTTTTCGGGAGGGATGATCAACTCCGCAAATATCGATCGAAACTTGAACCCTTGTATAGGTATGCAATTTGAGAAAGCACAACAATTGAAATAGGTAGTCCGTATTGGTATCAGATCTATTCCCATGTTCCGATCTTTCCATTTTTTTGACCCATTTCTTGGGTAAAGTCTCCCAACTATATTTGAAAATGGATTGGTTATCCATAAAGATAAAGAAAGCTTTCTTGTAGTTCCGCTTCTTGCTCTTCAAATTCTGAAAGACTCGTCGGAAATTGCCGGTGCCGGTTGGTCCAACCAAGAAAAGCATGGGAGTCTTTGGGCATTACTTGGGTCGAGTTAAGTAAAGACTGGTTACCTATAAAGATCCCTCACTGCACACTTTATCTATATCTGTACGCATTTATTTATTTTTGAGAACTCGATCTTGTAATCGAGAAAACTCGTCCGAGAGGTACTTTTGTCACGAGCTGGCTTAACCCATCCCCTTACCACCAAGCCTGGATAAGCAACATCTGAAAAGTCAAGTAGAATCCCTGGCTTGTGTAGGCGAGCTAAACACAAATCTTTCTTTTCATTTTATATAGATGGAAAAGTAAGAAATCCAATTTTCCTTCGTAAGAGGACAGTAGGAATCCAAAACTTTCTCTTTATATAGATGGAAAAGTGCATTTTCTCTTATCGTATCTCAGTAGCTAAGAGTTCTCATGGGACAATGGAACTCCATCCATCAACCGAGAAACACAACCTGCCTCAAAGCGCTTCTTTATTAAAAAAATAATATATTATTAAATGAATCCACATATAAACGTGGGCAGGTCTGCTCATTATTTGTGTTCGTACATTGATTCATTATTGCAATACAAATAAGACCTCCACTATACTAGTGATGGAGGGGATTCGCGCCGGATGGAACAAGGCGTTTTGAACCGTATACTACTGTTGCTGGAACGAAACGCACCCTAAGAGCTCTATCTTGCATTAGGGAGTCGGGGTTCTCCTACAACCACCCTACTGTTTGTTCATAGGGGGTCTCCAGCCATGCGGAAAGCCGCACAATCGCAACAGGCACGATGTTCTCACAACCCGGAGTAGAGTTATATGGATTTCATTATTTATGACTGACATTCCTTCCAGTCTCGAAGCAATGTGGTAGAATCTCTGTTTCCTCCGTTCGGTAGGCGGACTAGAACTATAGAGTAGGCGAGGAGAACTGCTGATTCACCTAGTATATTATTTGTTTTATATCATAGAAAAAGTATACTCCACTCCCTTAGACTCGTTACGCAACACGACTGAACTCGTTGGTTCACGAAAAAACTCCAGTCCACCTCAGCCTGCGATAGCAAGAGGAACACGACAAAGGGAGTCAATGAACAGCATGGGAGAAGACTTGCTAACACTAAAAGAGGGAATTGATGCAAAGGTCGACATAACAAGCTTCCCCCTCTTTCTGGGCGAACTCATTAAGTATTTGATGAAGGACGGAAGGTACTCGACGGAGAGGGAAGAACATCTGTGTATTTGCTGCAAGGCGGATTGAATCCTTTTTGCTTTCAAAAGCTACGCTCGATCCGTACCTCTCCTTTCAATCGAGTTACTAAAGTACCTCTCCTTGTTCGTAATAGGCATGATAGGTCAGCTGTTTGCCTGCGGAGTACTGCTGTATTTGCAAGTGCAGCTAAGTCACTCCTTTCATTCCTGTCATTATAAGAGTCACTCTTCCTCTCTCTGTTCGGATGGGAATAATAGGTTGCATGAGCAAGCCAGCTAGTTGCTTTTAGTTGTGATTGCTGTTCCTGCATGTATTGTAGTGAGTGAGTGCCTGCCGCGTTGCGCGTAGCGTGTACTGAGGTAAGGCACGATGGAGCGGCTAAGCTGCTCTGCGCATTCTCTAAAGAATATCCCTGTTTGTTCGACGGGAATAAGTGACATGATGGGGTAAGGGCGTTAGCAGCGGAGGCGTTCTTCAAGTTCCCGGCTGTTTGCTTGCTGTCATTCCTGTCATTCCTGTCATTACTAATAAGTATTCCTTCTCTTCGTTCGCTGGGAACAAGTTGTCATGATAGTGCGTGAAGTGTTGCTCTGCTGCCCTGCCCCCGTTCGTGCATGTGATAGGTAGTAATGTGGGGTTCTTCCCCGGTTGCCATTCCTATGTTCATTGCCAATTAGCTCCCCCTAACCAACTACCTAATCTTCCTGTTACTAGTGATTCATCGAAAAAACACGGGGTTTTGTGACGGAATTAAACAAGAAAATGTTGATTGTACGAGAATCAGAGTTCCCCCTGTTTGTTTACCGATTTAATCGAAGGCGACGTAACAACTGTTTGTTTATTTCCCACCTTCGCCTGAGACGGGGCTTCCTTAGAGTGGACAGAGACTGATCCTAGCTTTATGACTGGGCAAGCAGCTCCTAGTAAAGAGAAAGAGATAGTTATGCCATTTTGACGATCGATATTTCTTCGTATGATAAAGATAAGAACAAGCGTTTGAAGCTATCAAATAGGCCTTTGAAAGAATTAGCGTATATAAGAGAAAGAATGAGCGTATGCTCAGGAAGATAGAAAATGCCTATCAACTTCCCTACAAGGAATTAACCTTTCCTCTGTGGCTTTAGTTGCAAACTTGTAGTAAATCGGAATCAAGCAGTCGGGCTATCACCTCTTCTTATTCTTAGTCGCACGGGACTTAGAGTGCTTTCAAAGTCACTATGAGAATATACAGAGAATACTAATATGACCTCTCTCACTCTCAGGTAAGTACTTGATCGATTTAGTGATGAGAAGGTTTATATCTAATTCACATCTCCGTCCAGGTATCTTTCTCGTCCTTCACCACCTACCAGGCGTTCCTCTCAGTCGAGAGACTGGCGTTCCTCGAGAAAGTCTACTACATAAAAGACTATCTAGGTAAAAAAAACCTTTGAATCTTTCTTATTGTCTTTCCCTTTCATCTTGATATAAACTATGACATTAAGAAAGCATCGAGCGGGAAAGCCTTCACATATTATGATGAAAGAGACTATCGGAGAAGGTCCCACTCTGCTTGCGCCCGCTAGCTGACGACGAAGAAAAGCATGCTCCTCTTCCGCCCTTGGCCGACGGGAACCTTCAGGTCTCAACGAGCCACACCTACCTAGGAGATTTGATCCCCGGGAGCTTTGATCTTACTCTTAATTCTATTTTTATCAGAGCTCTTCTTTAGCTTCTTCTGTAATACCGATAGTTAATAGCTCTAGCGGCTACTTTTGAAGATAGTCAATCTATTGGGTTCATCTACGACCAACCTCAAGCGGAAGTAGTTCGGAGCTTTCTGTGCTGTTATGATTCCATGATCTTCATCGCCACCTCTGTCCTATAACGCCTTCCTTTATAGCAGTTATTGCTCCGGTTCCTGAAGGTATAGCTCTTGCCGAGGAATTCCTTTGAAATCGGAGACTGTTCAAATTTCCTACCGAGATAGGCAAGCGGAGGGAGAACTAGACGTATCTTGCTAGGCAAAGAAGGTTAGAATGTATAGCTCGCGGGTGGGATTGACGGGATAGATCACTCTTGCAGAAGGAGGTAGAACCGGGGATCTTTATAGGAGTGACTTGGGAAGTCCCGAACCGGGGTCAAGCTACAACTTGTGAATTGTCAAAAAGGTCGTTTTTCTGCTTGCATAAAGCCCTTTTCGGCAATCTCTTTCATGAATGTGAGGGTGGAACCAAGGAAGACTTTTGAATACCGGATCTTCAATTTGATATTGAAGTGAAGCTACAGGACGCTCTACGTAGCGATGGCTACCTTTCGTCCTCCATTTTGGAACAAAGGGAAGCGAAGCCATTAAGTGGGCCGCCTTTAGCCCCGATTCGCGTACAGCCTTTCTCTCTGTCAGGTCACTGCAGAGAATTTTGAACTGCCCGGACATAAGATCTACTTCATGTTATGAAAGAGTTGTGAAAAACATCAACTTGAACCTAATTCATCTACGAAAAAGGTAGTTTCTTTGCTCTGGGCAGGAGCGCTAGTGGACACGGGGAGGGAGCAGGCGAAGCGTGTCGTTCGTAATGGAAAGAAAGAGACCACTACTTCGCCTCTTTGTTGGACCGCCGGCGCGAACACAGTGGTCTCTGATCACACTCGAAATTATGTATCTACTTATCGTATTTTTACCCCTGCTCGGTAGTTCCGTAGCAGGTTTTTTCGAACGTTTTCTAGGATCAGAAGGAAGCGCTATTCTGACCACTACGTGCGTTTCATTCTTCGCGCTAGTGAGCTTCTCCTTTTGTTTGAGTCACTTTCGTTTGAAAGGACCACTGAGGGGGATTCTCAATCTCTTCTTGGTCTTTTTCATCACCATAGTAATATCTTTGATCCGTATCAAAGTCATGCACCTACTGGGTGGTCAGGCTTTGCCCCTCCTGTTGGAGCCCATTATATGGGCTGCTGTGACGGGTTCGTCTGGGGAGGTAGTGAATCACCAAACCGAGGCCTCTTCTCAGTGGTTTACATATACTTCCGACATGCTGGAAGATTCTGACAGTTCCGGACGTAGCTCGTCGGTCAATCAACCGATTCAGAGGGAACAGGCTGGGCCATCCAATGCCTTTCCCGCCCCCCAACCCACCGCTGCCCCAGCAGCTCAACAGCAGAATCACCTAGATCAACCAGCTGGGGAAAGGGAGGCTAGGGCGCAAGAGCACGCCCGCATCTCTGCGGAGATCGAAAGGATTTTTTCGGCCTGCGAGAATGAGGAGGCCGCCATGATACGCAAAGCCCACAACCTCTTGCATCAACTTGGCATAACTCTCGAGGATGCAGAGGATGTCAAGCGTGCTCTCCAGTTGGCTCTCCATGACGACTGGGAGCACGATATTGATGACCGTCAGAGGCATTTCACCGTGCTCAGGCGCAACTTCGGAACAGCTCGCTGTGAAAGATGGAACTCTTTCATTGAGGAGCTACGGGGTTTGGGTAACCATCAGGTAAATGCCCGGCATTATATAGACTAAGTGGGATCTTCGACTGGGGTGAAGTCGTAACAAGGTAGCCGTAGGGGAACCTGCGGCTGGATTGAATCCTTCTATAGATAGAAAAGTTCTTAAGCAAAGACTGGAGAGGCCCCCGGTCGAGATGTAGTAAGTAGGTCTCCAATACTGGGAGACTGAGGAGAATGGGAGTTTGTGGGTTGAGGGTGGCATGCTCCCCAGGGCCTTTTTTTGGTAGGTAGGGTTCTTCAATATGTGATCTAGCAGTGTAAACCTGAAATTTGTCAGAGTTGGCTTCGATTGAGATTAGAAAGCGTAACGAGACTAAAAGAGTAACCTCGTCAATGCAGCGCACTGCGTTTCGAAAGATCCGAGGGCCCATAAGCCGGGTGTCAGGTACAATTTTCAATCTAACGTACGACTCCGCTTGCCCTCTCCATTCCTTCGTTTTAGAGCGCAACTCTAGTTTCAGCTGATTGCAGAACCATAAACCTCGCTCGCTCTATCGAGACCAAGCCCAGCCTGTCTTTTTTTTCAATACTGTTTTCTTGCATAACATAGGGGTTCCCGTAACGCTTAAGATAGGAATTGGGCCTCGA